GTTGGCTAAAGCTCTGCTGAGCATAAGAATAATTTTGTGTTCTCCCTAAGCCTGACTGATCTTGTTGTTTCCCATAAGTATGAGCGAGAGGTCCCCGATTTTGGGACAGCCACAGTGACTGGATGGAATCATCATCCGGGATTAGGTTATAGGCGTTGGAGGAAGGGTCGAATCGTTGTTTGGGTCAGCCATAACTACACTTACTTGCTCCTCCGTGTGCAGGGTTAGAACTGATGGAGCAGACTACACGAGGGTAGGTTGGTTGAAGTGCGGAAGAGGATGTTAGCTATTGTTTTTCGTTCGATGCTAGGAATTGATCAAATTTATCTTCCAAGGCATCTATCCTTGACGTTCCTTCTAATCTCTCTAATTTTTTCTTAAGTGAATTCTTGAGTCCTAATGCTTTCTTCTAAAGTTGAGTACCAATAACTTGCTTTATCCTTTAGTAAGAAAGGAAAACGGGTGAGCCGCGAAGAACTGTCTGTGCCTTTCACTACAGCGCAAACACTCAGAAATTCTTTCAAGTGGTCGTAAAGTGGCTGTAAGGGCTCCGTGTTGCTGACTGTTAGAATAAGTGATATTGGGCTTAATAAGTCCAATTACCTATCGGTATTGGATCTAGCCGCTTATACCCGGCATAGATCCGATACTTAGGACATGTATTAAAGGGTCACGAACCCTAACTCAAAAGAAAACGAAGATTTTTTTTCTCTCACTCTCTCTTGCTCTAACAGCTCTCCTGCTCGTGGGTGCAGTACCCTAGCCCAAGGTTGGAGAATCTCCGACACTGACTATAGAAAGCAAGAAGTATTTGAAACACAGAATAGGGTTTAAGATAATCTCTCAATTGTATAGGTAGGTCTACAATTTCGTTGTTCTGTACCTTTTATTCAAGTTTTTTGGATTTGAAGGTGTGTGATGCCTAGATTTTTGGAAAGGTCTGATAAATTTGATTCAGTGATCTCCTGCTTAGCATGCACAGTCCATCACTATCAGAAAACTATATAAAATAAAATTTGCGAGAATTAAAACTGAATGATTTAAAAACAGTTCTATTAAAAACGGAATGAAGTACTAAAAACTGAGAACAAGTAGCGACCAGGGTATGTAATTATTTAGTAGGAGAAACTATCAGAAAACAAAAGTGCTTCGATCGAATTGAAATACTCCTAAGACAGAAAAAAAATTGAACAGCTGATATGGAGATATTTTGTGAAGATAGAGTAGAGATATAGAATATTGGAATTGATAAATCAATAGAAGCTGAAATGACTATATCCGAAGTCAAAACAGATTTAGCGCACATGATCATTTTCAGAATCAATCTCATCTTTCTTGACTCCTGTGTTCTTGATTCTCATCTCTTCTTCTTTTATCTGTAATATATGTATATATATATATATATATTTCGTTTATTTAAAAAAAAGAAAAAATAAACCAGAATGAGAGAATTACACATTGAGAAATCAACCTAATTTGATGCATAATTACTTTATACCTCCCCAGCAATGGTGCCAAAATTGATGTACTTCTTATTGTTGTATTAGGAAAGCAATCGATCATAAAATTTATAAAAAAACTGAATTCACTAAGAGAGGAATTAAATTTCAAGTGTATAATGATTTCAGGTCGAATCCACAAGGAGGAAATGGAAATGTGCATCTAATTTCTGATGTTACCTCAGCTATTCCTTAATTACAGAAGTAAAAACAATGAAAAATAAGGAAAAACAGTGGAGGAAATTCTCTGTCCAATCTCTACAATCTTCAAGTCAAGCTCCCCACTCCAACTTTTTGGCTTTATTGTGCATGATCAAGGCTCAATCAGGCTTTCTCAAGATCTGAAAAAGATGAAAAATATAACTAGTGGAATTGCGAATGCTAAAGGAAGAATTGCAGAGATTGAAGAAATCAAAAATCACAAAAGGAAGATTGAAGAAATACAAATTCAATGTCACCAGAAGAGAAGTCCTAAAACGGAGAAAATAGAACATGCAAGAATGGATTTACAGAGAATTCAGAAGATTTCTTTTTACAATTAAAAAAAAATCTAAGTTTTTAAATGTTTTGAGGATCAATCTAGGTACATAAGTTATTCAAACCTAATCTTAGACGATTAATATCTTAATCGCTGGAGGCATGGCTGCAATTCAATTTCGCAATTCCTTACAAAATCTAATGCAAAGATAAATGAAAAGCATTTCGAAAATGATTAAATTAATATGTATACAAAAATCAAAAGGGGATCCAAAAACAGAATGAAATTGAAAAACCTCTCGGTGTCCAAAAATTCGTACTCTGCTAGTGTAATTTCTTCCCTAAATATTCATCCCGTCCTGATGGATCTCCTTTGAATGGAACCAATGAATGGGTCTGCCTAGCGAGCCATCCTAGTAAGTCGGCCTAATGGGTCGACATAAATAGATTTTTTAACTACACCATAAAGGATATTGTATAGTTTTGACCTTAAAGGGTATGATATCACTTAACGACACCATAAAGGATATATCACGTGTGATAATTTGAAATCCATTTCAGAAAAGATTCATAAAAATTTCCAAAACTAAGGAAAATTTCTGTAAAATCGAATAAAATGAATTAAAACATTTCAATCATGATTTTACCAGGAAAATGATGAGCTTAGGGGAAAAAAGTGGTATAATGCATAAAATATGGATTCTATGAATATCTTTAAAATATATATGCTGTAAAAATATGCGAAAATCACCTAAATAATTATTTATTTTATGGAATGGATTTAAAATATTCTTTATCTGATTAGACCCTAAATTTATGTTATTTATCATGAATTAATGCAACAAAATAGGAAAAATGCATGAATTATCATATAAGAATGCAGTGCTATTACCTGTAAACTACCTTGTTGACTTTGTCTACAATAGTACATCTTGAGTCCATTAGAATGCAATATAGATTATGAGTAACAGGTTTGAGACTTGTATCCTACATTTTAGGTTCTTTGTATTGACGAGTGAGTTTCATTTATATTAGCATGGTTATATAGAGCTCAACACTTGTATTCTTCAAACTAAATTTCATAATGTAGTAAAGTATGTAAACTATTTTACAAGCATAATGTCTATGCACTTAGTCATTGTATCTGGCATACTATGCAATTTTGCAATGTAATTTTGAAGCAGCAAAATATAAACTTCTATAATAAGTCATATGTGAGGAACCAAAGGTTCACCATGGTAGTCCATATGGGAGGATCACCAAGACTTGAGACCTGTAATAAATCAACCTTTTGTAATCCAATTTTTTATCTACAATTATACACACAAGAGTAATTCACCCCCTCATTTGACTTTGTAGTTTAAAGGATTTTGATATATAAAACGAATGTTGCTTCCAAGTTTGATAATGGTGGTTTAAAGGAGACTATAAAAAAAAAGTAGTGTGAATTAATTTTTTCGAATCCCTTTATGAGAGGATGAGAGAGGCAATGATGCCAATGAACAAGAAAAAATAGGGAGGGCCTAGTGGTGCTCAAGGGAAGATAAGAGAGAGAGATAGCGAGATAGAGAGAGAAAGAGATGGCAATGCAACAAGATAAAATGTAATGGAAAGACCAATTCTTACTTTTGGGATACTTTTTAGGGGCTTAAACTATAAAAAGTAAAAAGATGAGAGACTTACTAAATATAATGTCAATAAAAATCCTTTTGTGTTTGTTGAAAGATTGATGAATCTTGAGGAGTATATTTTATTTTTTAATTAATAGATAACATGAGGGATACTAGAATTGTAGTTACCAACCAACTAGGGCATTAGTATTTGAGATGATTTTAGAAGAAAGCATGCAAAATTGATCAACTATTTTGGGGCCTCCACTAAGATCCAGGAGGGAAACCTAACATGTGTAGGATGTTCAAAATAAGAGCAATATTGTGGTCTCAAGAATGTCATGTTAGCTTAGTAAAATAGAATGTATCAATTGAAAGTTTGGAAGATATAAAGAAGACTTTAATCAAGTCCATTGTCATGTTTTGGGTTACATTCCATGGATTCAAGATTATTTTCTCATTTTACAATAGTGTCAAAGATGCTACATTATACAGTTTTCTGTATTACACAATGCTACATTATTCCACCCTAAAATCGTCCTCAAATACAATTTTCTGTTTACCTGAAGGGAAACTAAACTTTGATGATATATTTGCTCAGAAATTTTTGCCTACAGTATATTGACTTCCACCTTGCTATTTTATTTTCATCAACTCTCAGCATCGTAAAAGTTACACAAAAATAAAAAAGGTCACATCTAAAAACATGTTTTATAATAATAGCAATAATGTCCCCAAAAATTTTATCAGTCAAAATATCAGCAAAGTCGTGCACGTGCGCGTGCATAGTAAAGGGAAAGAAGTAAAATCTGGGAACTGCGTCGATTTCTGCGTGCTACTCAGCTGGCAGTACTAGATTAAGGAAACTTAGAAGTGATCACTTACTTTGACAATGATTTAAATAATATTTTACAAAACCAAAGCTGTTGATACTCTCTCGCTTACGTTTATTCAAACGAGCTAACCACAAATGAATCTGTTCTAATGACAGCATCTCTCGATTGTGATGGCTCGTGTCATGATTCATTTTGTTTACGTCCCATCCACCGGGAACGGGAACCCATGCCGCCTGCGTCCTTAGTTCACCCTACTGCATACCAGCCTGATCTCCCCGTTGGAGCCGGTGAGGGGGCTGATGTTGCCCATCCTCACCATCGCCGCCGCGAAGTCTCTGAAAAAGACGGAGCTGCTGGCCGCGTAGCTGCGGACGATGGAATCGGCTGAGCCGTTGTTGAAGAGCTCCTGGTCGGAGTGGAGGAGACCGCGCCGGGACAAGAGGTTGCGGTAGTAGGCGTTGTCAAAGGCCCTCGGAGTCGTGACGTCGAGCGGCGAGAGGTTCGCATCGCCGCCGGACCGGGGGCAGTTGGTCTGGGTGGAGCGGGCATAGACGGGTTCGATGTTGGCGTCGTTGTAGATGCGGTTGCGGAAGGTGGCGCAGCGGGCCACGCCGAAGGTGTGCGCGCCGGAGAGGGCCACCAGTTCCCGCAGGTTCAGTCCCTGGTTGGCGAAGCTGGAGATGAGCGCGGAGAGGCTGGACGACGGGCCGGGAAGGTTGCTGTTGGCTGCGCTCTGGCTCGCCGTTCTCGCGTCCCTCCGCCCGAGGGGCACCGTCCACGAAGGTCCTCCGCTCTGCATGGAAGAAGGCAGTCAGTATCCTTTGGTTAAAGAGTGGACTCGTTCGATGTAAGGCTAAACGGGGAAACGGGAGGAGCCTAAGGCACTCACCAAGACGACGCCGTCCCTGGTGGCGAGAGCCAGGATGTCGGCACACGACACCGTGGCGTTGCACGACGCTTCGACGGCCGACTTGATGGTCTCGACGACGTCCATGCCTCGAATGGAGTTCCTGTTCGGGAACGCGTTCTGCTCGCCAGTGAAGGTCGCGGTGTCAGCCAGGAGCACCGATGCGTCGCAGCCCTGCATGGTCACACGTGCGACGGAATTAGAACCGTTGCGGCGGCGTGGTGAGGGAATCGGCCGTCTGTCATCTACAGCAGTCTGTTCTGTTGTGCGTGCGCTTACGTTAACGAAGCAGTCGTGGAAGAAGAGGCGGATCATGGAGGCGGGCAAGCGGCGATCGTTCCTGATGGCCGTTCGCATGGCATTTTGGACGATACGGTGCAGGCTTGGGCAGGTGGACGAGTAGAAGTTCGGCCTCAGCTGCGCGTGTGCGGTGCACACGAACAGGAGGACGAGGATGGAGAAGGCAAGAGATGACACGCTGCGTGCGGCGGCCATTTGCAAGTGGTGGAAAGATGCCTTTCTCTGTCCGAGTTTGTGTGGGTTTCTCTCTCTTTCTCTGTAGCTGAAGTTTGGGGTGGTGTGATGAAGGCCTGCGGGGCTGCTGCGCGTTATATAGATGGGAGTATGCGGTGTCGTGGCGGGCGTAAGTGTGGAGGGTGGGAGAGTCTTAGTCCTCATCTTTCCGCGTGGGGTCTGTCCGGAGGCGAACCGTGGTTTACTGGGGAAAGCGTCTCTGGTTCGCACGGCGACAGGCTGGATGGGGGTAGGAGGGAGTTGACCTTCTGAAGTCAGCGTTGGAGGCGACGGCTATGTCACTTCCCATATCTGAGATAGAGGGAGGGGAGAGAGGGGGGGGGTGGTAGAGGGAGAGACAGAGAGAGGCGGTTAGGTGGACGATCGTGACTAACATGCAGCGAGAAAATTGACATCTTGGGGACCAAGATTGTCGATGTTATCCATTCCATCACGTCATATTTCGATGGGGGATTACAGGTGTTCTATCTTCAACATTCTCCATCGCCATCGTTGTCGTTCTATCAGTGCATGGAATTATCCAATGCTAGAGAATAAAGGTAAAATATTTTAGCCTAAATTTTATGGCTGCATGTTCATAAAATATAAAAGCATATTTTTATAATTTAACTTATTGACATCGTGAACGGATACCTTAAAGCATATTTCTTTAAATATCCAATTCTAACTTTTACGATAAAGAGAAGAGTATAAAATATAGAAAACAATATGCACATTTAATTTTACATTTGTTGCATTCTGTGGTGGGCATACGAAACTATATCTATTTAACTCCTCGGCTCCTAGTGTTATTTGAAAGCAGCGTTTGACCCTCGATCACATTCCAACAAACGCAGACTGTGATAAGTACACGAACCAGGCCATAGGCCCACCTTTGACATTTGACCGACTAACCCTCGGATGTGATTGAGAGTGTCAGCAGAATGCGACTGAACGAATCAGATAGACGTGAAAAAATCCCTGAATGGGACATCTCTGGCTGGGCCTCGTTCTACAACGACAATCGCTGCCGGTGCATAACAACCCACCCTGGAAACCACCTCCACATTAGTCAAACATGTAATACCAAGAGAAAGATGTCAGCCAGCTCCATGAGAGGTACTTGATGTGCCAAACCATTATGGCTCATTCACTATTGTTTTGACCGAAAAAAGTCAAACTTTAGCACCTTGGGACGCTGTTTTCCCTTTTTTCTCCAGTTATCCATCCATAATACTGATACATCGCGGTACTCTCTCTCTCTCTTTCTCTCTCACTCTCTCTCTCAGAGATAGCAACTGACTTCTAACTTAGCCCTCGCCTCCAGAGCCCACTACGAAAGGTCCACCCCCCTCCAGCCTGTCGCCATGGGAAACCAAAGACGACATCCCTGGTTTCCCGCCGTTTACAGAAGGCGGAGCCGCCTCCAAGGGGTTCACCACACAACCCCAAACGTCAGCTCTTATCACGATATAATCCCTTTGATGCTTTCCTTTCCGTGCTACCTTCATTACACTGTCGAATATTTTTGATGGAAACAATGCAGAATGTTGTTTCCACAACAATATTCTGAAAGAATTACTAAGATTGTATTTATCTTTTTAGCTTCAACACGTTTGCATGTATCGTACCATTTTTGTTTCTTGAGATTTCTAACCATAAACGTCAGGGGCATAAATACATTATTAAGAATTATTTATTCAAAATAGTAAACTAACATACAAAAACTTTAATCCTTAAATATCATCATATATATCTAAGAGAATGTACCTAACAAAAACTCAAAGTTTGCGTCAAATTTAAGTATTTCGCCACTCCACCGACGTAGATATAAGAGATTACAGTAAGAAACAAAAAACCTGGTAAAAAATGTTAACAGGTGCAAATGAGCTGACTTCTACGTTACACAAAATGAAGCTTTTCGATTATTAAAATTAGAACTGTTTTACGACTTGATAAAAACATGTCATGACTTGTTGACCATTGTGTCTAAATTCGTATATTTATGCAAACGTACTTTCATCTAGTGTCGTGCGATCAACAACAAAGTCATGCATCCCAACCTACGTTTACCCTACTGCAGGTTCGCCTGGTCTCCCCGTTGGAGCAGTTGTCGTTCAGTGTCATGTTGTCATGGAGCTGTTTCACATTTCTCCCATTGAGCGAAATAGCCGCTACCTGTCAGGCTGCACATGGTCAGCTCAATGATTTATTTGTTTCAGCTTACGCATCAGGCTATAGCTCATTTGCCTTCACGATCTGTCTCTAAAAATAGTTCCAAGAGAACTCTAATATGCTATCCCAAACCTCATAAGTTACTTATTTGATTTGTATGCATATGACTCTGTCACCGTTTCTTCTGACCATCCATCTCCCTCGGCACTTGGGGCGAGAGGGGGAGAGAGAGAGAGAGTTGAAATATTTTATAATACCACTCGGCGAGGTGGAAGCTTTCAACGCGTAAAAGAAGAGAGAAAGAAAGGGGAACAACGGCCACACACTCTAACGCGTAGTTGAAAACTGTCACACGTGGATCGTGATCGCTTGTCCTCAGGATGTCTAAGCTGGTCCCAACTATGAACGGTCAAACCGACTAGGCCCTTGTCACTAACCTCTTGGATCGAGACCAGTGGCTGACCCTCGATCTCCTTCGCTAATCGCTAGCTCTTTCGTTTCGATCACTGCCAATTTACAGCGCCGACAACTCACCTAGCCACCTGGGAAACATATGCCCTACACGCCGTTAAAAACGTCGACGTCGTAACCGCTGCAATGAAGAAAAAGTATAATAAGAAAGATCCGGAAGAGTGCCTGAGGAAGCTTTTGACCAATAAGGAATAATAATTAACTGAGGTTTAATCCAATCAGCTCCCCCAAAGTTTGACCTGGCCCGCTATGAGCGTAGGAATTCCGTTAGATGTTGATCGTTCCACGCGGCGGGGAAGTTCAGATCTGCCGCCCCTCGCCTTGTCCCCCCCGCCTCCCAGATGCAACAAATGTTGAGAAGACACCCACGTACCTTCCTTGAACTTTGGTCAGCGTAGGACTAACGGAGGCACGTACATCACCGAAGAACGGTCATGATGAAATGTTTTTCTTTCCATATGTAAGACGAGAATGCAGGACAATTGCACGCATCTATCTCTCTCAGCGCTGCAAGGGTTTTCCCTCATCACCACTTCACTTCAATTTTAGCCATTTGGCTTCTTTGTTGATAGGACAGATCCATTCGGAAGGTCAGCTAATGGAAATCCCCAGCGAGCGAGAGAGAGAGACAAAAGCGGGCAGACAGGCGATCGCGACTGGTTGACAACCAACCAAAAACGCTCTTTTTTTGGAGACCAGAATGTCAATGTTGTCCCTGCCGATACAGCTTATTTCAATAAGGGATTATTCAATATTCCCAATCGCCAACGATGTTGTTATAACCGGCCATGGAATTAACCAATGATCGAGAAAAAGAGTTAAACATATCAATCTGTTTGACTTTTGACGGTTCAATCATCCGGATATGATTGAGACTTTCAACGGAATGTGATGGAACTGATCGAATCTCTACCGGAAATGTCCCTCTATTGGATGCCCATGGTAGTGCCTGGTGTTACGAAGCCAGGCTACTCAGGAACAACCCAAAATCAGACTCTCTACTACGGACAAACATGATATGTCTGCAAAGGGCTTTCAATTATCTACGGAAGAAATAGACGACGAATCATATAGTTCTTGTTGTTCCTCCCGGGTTGTAACCGTAAAACCTTAGAATGTTTCCAGGTATAGGATAAGGCCGACACATTCTCCCTCTCTCTTTGAGGCGGGAACTGCATTAGCCGTCGCCTCCAAAAACGACTTCGGAAGCTCCACTCCCCTCCTACCCCGTCCAGACTGTCACCTTGCCAACCAGAGAAACTTTCCCTGGTCAATCACGAATCGCTTCTGGATGCGCCTCACGGGGGAAGATGACGACTGCGAACCTCCCACCCTCCACTCCAGCGCCGGCCACGACATCACATGCTCCCGTCTATATAAGAAGCAGAATCCCTTCATGGCTTCATCACACACTCCCAAACTTTAGCTACAGACAACGAGAGATTCTGAGGGAGAAGAAGATAGAGAGAGACAGACACACAGGCACATTGTAGGATGGAGAAAGGCATTTTTCTATCACTTGCAATGGCGGCCACTCGCAGCGTGTCGTCTCTTTCCTCATTCCTCCTCTTCCTTCTCCTGTTCGTGTGCACCGCTCACGCGCAGATGAGGTCGAACTTCTACTCGTCGACCTGCCCAAACCTGCACAGAATCGTCCAAAATGCCATGCGAACGGCCGTCAGGAACGACCGCCGCTTGCTCGCCTCTATGATTCGCCTCTTCTTCCACGACTGCTTCGTCAACGTAAGGGCACGCACAACAGAACGTATTCCACGTACATTTGCAATGCGATGTACGTGGAATACGTACAGCCCCCTCATCGGCGGCGATGGTGAGGATAGGCAACACCAGCCCCCTCATCGGCTCCAACGAGGAGATCAGGCGGGTCTGTAGTAGGGTTAACTGAGGACGCGGGGGTCATGGCTTCCTGGTGGATGGGACAGCGAGATTGACTCGTTGCTTAAGAAATGGATTAACGTGGGTTAGCTCATTTGAATAAACTTCCGTAAAGTATCAAGAGGGAGAGTGAACAGCTTTGAATTTGTACAGTATTATTCATTTGATTTGTTGCCAAATAAACCGATCACCCCTAAGTTTATTTAATGTTATTTAGCATACAGAAGTCAACGTAGTTTCCAGATTTTACATTTTTTACTTTATTAAGTACATGCACGTGCATGACTTTGGTCATATTGACCCATTATTATTATAAGAAATGCTTTTCGTTATAACCTTTATAATTTTCGTGTAATTTTCATCATTCTAGGAGATAGTAGGATAGAAGTCTTTATACTGATGGCAAAAATTAAGCAAGTTATTTATGAGGAAATATCTTCCATGTAAGATTTATAGAAACAACGTTTGTGTTTGTTAAAAGATAGAAGAATTTGGAAAACCATAATTTTTTTTGATAAATGTATAACATTAGGAAGAGTACAATTGAGTTAATTACCAACCAACGAAAGCATCAATAATTAAATTGAGTTTCATACAAAATATGCAAAGTGATCAACTATTTTGGAGCCTCTACCAACAACAAGGATAAGTTGTCAATCTGTTTTCTCAAAAAGATTATTTTCATGATCTGCTGCCAGTATGAAAATCAAATTTTGGTGTATGAAGTTAAATAATTCAGAAATTCGGACAGAAATCATGTGATGGTATATGATTTATTTTCCTGATTGGCATGACAAACTGATAAATTTGATTAAATTTAAGAGCCCAGAAGACGGCCTGGAAATTGAAACGGGGAGGATTATTACACAACTGGTGAAGAGAAAAACTCATCCACTGACGAGAACGCCTTCTCTAAGAGGCCGTTACGTGTTTTCAGCAAGCAGCTCTCTATGCTTAAATCCATCATTATATACATCTCACTGTCTAATTGAATGTCCGCGACTGTATATCTCTGAACATTATCAATAAATCATTGCGTCCCATTCATACGTTTCAGACGATACATGACTAAGAATTCGATCGGCGAAGACTCAAAGGGCCGATCCTAAACACGTCCAGGTTGACGTGTTGATGGCAGACTTGATGGTCTCGATGACGTAATGCCGCTGAGGGAGCTCTTGGGGGAAGACGTTTTGCACGCCGGTGAACGTCGCGGACTCGGCCAGAAGCCTCGACCCCTGCAGGACCATCCGTGCAGTGGCATTAAAATCGTGACGGCGTGGTAGCGGTTACCAGTTGTCTGATTAGACACCTACCTTGACGAAGAGGTCATGGAAGTAGAAGCGAATCATGGAGGCAGGCAGGCAGGCGGCCGGGGTCGCCCACGGCCGTTATCATTGAGTTTTCCACGACCCTCTACAGTCTGGGCAGCTCGATGACCAAGAGGACGAGGAGCGTGGCAAGAGAGACGCAGCATGGCAGACATTTCTGACGTTGGGAAGAGGCATTTCTCTGTGTTCTCTCTCTCTCTCTCTCTCTCTCTCTCTCTCTCTCTCTCTCTCTCTCTCTCTCTCTCTCTCTCTCTCTCTCTCTCTCTCTCTCTCTCTCTCTCTCCCTCTCCTCTCTCTCTCTCCCTCTCCTCTCTCTCCCTCCCTCTCCCTCTCCCTCTCCTCTCTCTCCCTCTCCTCTCTCTCTCTCTCTCTCTCTCTCTCTCTCTCTCTCTCTCCCTCTCTCTCTCTCTCTCTCTCCCTCTCTCTCTCTCTCTCTCTCTCTCTCTCTCTCTCTCTCTCTCTCTCTCTCTCTCTCTCTCTCTCTCTCCCTCTCCCTCTCTCTCTCTCTCTCTCTCTCTCTCTCTCTCTCTCTCTCTCTCTCTCTCTCTCTCTCTCTCTCTCCTCTCTCCCTCTCCTCTCTCTCTCCTCTCTCTCCCTCTCTCTCTCTCCTCTCTCTCTCTCTCTCTCTCTCTCTCTCTCTCTCTCTCTCTCTCTCTCTCTCTCTCTCTCTCTCTCTCTCTCTCTCTCTCGCTCTCTCTCTCTCTCTCCCTCTCTCCCTCTCCCTCTCTCTCTCTCCTCCCTCTCTCTCCTCTCTCTCCCTCTCTCCCTCTCTCTCTCTCTCTCTCTCTCTCTCTCTCTCTCTCTCTCTCTCTCTCTCTCTCTCTCTCTCTCTCTCGCTCGCTCTCTCTCTCTCTCTCCCTCTCTCCCTCTCCCTCTCTCTCTCTCCCTCTCTCTCCCTCTCTCTCTCTCTCTCTCCCTCTCTCTCTCTCTCTCTCCCTCTCTCTCTCTCTCTCTTTTTCCCCTCTCTCTCTCACACTTAGGTATGGAAGCGATGTAAATCTGCGCCAGTGCTGCACTTATATAGAGTGGAAGAGGGATTTTATTAGTTATCATCCAGAGTGAGACGTGTCTGGATCCGGATACTGGAGAACCGTGGAAGGCGTCCTTGGCGGATTAAAGCAGAACTTCCGGCGGAGGGCGCGTGACTGTTGTCTCCATTTCAGCGAGAGACATTATCGCTGTTATGCATGGAACCACCCCGACATTACGACCATCAGAAGTGCTCTGACTTTTGAAGGTCGGAATCCCAGTGGATGATCACGTAGATTCATCCCACTCGGAGATTCCTCGGGTCCTAGATGCGATAGGTTGAATCACATACAATGACGCTCTCAATCACATCTGGGTCATCTGGTCAAAAGCCAACGGTGGGCCATCGATGAACGTTTGGATAAAGGGCATCCGAGAAACGGTAGGAAAGGGAGAAATTGGAAATTAAGTTCACAGTTTTTTTTCTGTTTGTACTCTTCTGATAAAAAATTAAACATTCAAATTTTCTGAGGATAGGTTGCACATATAACTTTATCAGGACAGTAGATACGAGTCCATTATTGTGTCATTATTTATTTAAGGATAACCCAAACATGTTTCACAATTCAAATAAATTCGTTACAACAGCTTTTTTTCTTGATAAACAAGTAAATTTATGGTCCGTTTAACATTAATGATGGAGACTACGGCGATGGTCTTCACCAACAATAATTTCCGGCTAAAAGATAGTGTGACCAGAAGGGATAACATGATCTTGTCTCCATCATAATAATTCTCTTTGTCTCAACTACAAAAAAGTAAAGTCTCTTTGTCTCATCATAGTAAAGGTGGAGGGGGGACAACTTCCTCAACTCCCTTTTGATTTCAGCCTCTAGGGGATGTTTATTTGACCCTAGCCTACAAATGGCCTGTTTTGTCAAACATTCCTCTCTACTTAACAAACGAAAGCTCTATTTCCATGTCCATCAAAGTCTCCTCATCGTCCATCAATCATCATCTCAAATCAATTGCCAAGATATGCTTTGACCCTCTACAAGAGAGAAGATAGAGACGAAAACTTACTTGAGCAATTCTGAAAACCTTTCAAATGGTGACTAATTAAATCGCACTCTTCAAACATGATTATCCACTCTCTCCCTCTCTCGCTCCCACTCTCACATCAAACTATTTTTCAATAAGATTAGTAAGAGAAAGGGCCTAAAAATATAGGTAGGATAATTTACAAGCGCTAGAAATCCAATTGACAAAAGAGGAGATTATCAAAAAAATCTTTTTGGTTTGTCTATGCTAAAATAATGTACCCCTAAAAATATCTCATGTTAGATATTTGAACAAATAAATTAAGATATCTATTTGATCTATAAAATTTCAAGAGTGATAATGCTATAAATACTTTTCAAGGCCGAGGCATAATTGTTTTTGGTAGAAATGTTTAAAATAAATTTAATTTCAATGAGCAGCTATGATCTTTATCTCGATCACATCAACATCAACACATCTGTGCATAATCACTAAAAAAAATTGGTTTCAAATGATGAATAGTTTTACAAAAAACCTAAAAAATCATCTAGCATTATTACTATTTTAATTTATGTTTATTTTTACATGTATTTATAATATTGTATGGGTTCTTCTTCCTTTTTTAGTACAATTAGCCTCTTCGATTTCATCTTCTGCATGAAAATATCTGTAAGATTTTATTTTACTTTTGGGTAATATCCAGTAAAAATCAGATATTATTCATTGTCGTCTAATCTTGATAGTTATTCGGCATCTGGAAAGTTGACTTATATTGTATTTTTGGTTGTGGTACAGAGATAACTAGCGTTCAAGTCTTTGATAAAAGGATTATTAGCCTTGTAACGCAGGAAAGCTGCTAACGTTGAGTCGTACAAGCTTTCTTGTTGACTTATATTCTATTTTTGGTTGTGGTACAGAGATAACTAGCGCTTAAGTCTTTGAAGGATTATTTGTCTTGTAACGCAGGAAAACTGCTAACGTTGAGTCGTACAAGCTTTCTTTGAAACGGGAAACGTATTCCTTCTGACGCAAATGAAGAACTGGTCACTAGAGAAACCTGGCGGCGGCATTGCTCTTCTCTTTATTCCAACCCGCTGACCTCATATCCACCGAAGAGCCTTGCACACCGTCCCCTCAGTTCACCGTGCTGCAGATCTGCCTGATCTCCCCGTTGGAGCCGGTGAGGGGGTCGATGCTGCCCAACTTTACCATCGCCGCCGCGAAGTCTGTGAAGAAGTCGGAGCTGCTGGCCGCGTAGCTTTGGACGATGGAATCCGCGGAGCCGTTACTGAAGAGCTCCTGGTCGGAGTGGAGGAGACCCCGGAAGGATAGGAGGTTTGTGTAGTAGGCGTTGTCGAAGGCAGTCGGGGTGCTGACGTCGAGCGGCGAGAGATTTTCGTCTCCGTTCGGAGGAGAAACCGGGCAGTTGGCCTTGGTGGAGTTGGCGAAGATGGGGTCGATGTTGACGTCGTTGTAGATGCGGTTTCGGAAGGCGCGGCAGGGGGCGAAGCCGACGGTGTGCGCGCCGGATAGGGCCACGAGTTCCTGTAAGCTCAGGCCCTTGCTGGCGAACCTGGTGATGAGGCTAGAGAGGCTGGACGACGGACCAGGGAGGTTGATGTTGGCTTCGTTCAGGCTGGCCGTTGTGGCGTCCCGCCGCCCGAGGGGCACCGTCCACGAGGGTCCTCCGCTCTGCATCGAAGAAGCCAGCCTCTTCTGGTTAGACTGTCAATTTGGTCGCCGGAGAATCGACGGGGACCATCCTAACGATGTCGAGGCGAAGAACTCACCAGGACGACGCCGTCCCTGGTGGCGAGGGCCAGGATGTCGGCGCATGACACGACGCCGTTGCACGACGCCTCGACGGTGGACTTGATCTTCTCGATGACGTCCAGGGCTTGAAGTTTTCTGTTCGCCCGGGCGCCTTGCTCGCCGGCGAACGTCTGGGTGTCGTTCAAGAGCACCGATCCGTCGCAGCCCTGCAGGACCACAAGTGGGCCAGCGATTAGAACCGTTGCGGCGCTGTGACGAGGGACCGGCTGTTTGTCATGTACAGTAGTCTGTGCGTGCGCTTACTTGGACGAAGCAGTCGTGAAAGAAGAGGCGGAGCAGGGAGGCAGGCGTGCGGGGGTTGTTCCCGACGGCCGTTTGCGTGGCACTTTGCACGATAGTCTCCAAGTTGGGGCAGCTCGACGAGTAGAAGTTCGCCGTCAGTTGCGCGTGTGACGTGAACACATACAGGAGGAGGACAAAGAGGGAGGCAAGAGGGACGCTGCGTGTGCCCGTCATTTGTAGCGATGGAAATATGCCTTCTCTTTGTCTCTCTCTCTCTCTCTCTCTCTCTCTCTCTCTCTCTCTCTCTCTCTCGCTATCTCTGTCTCTTGCTCTTGCTCTCTAAACGGAGATATCGCACGTATGAAAGTGTGTCGTGGTGAAGCCCTTGTCGGAGTAGTGCCCTTTATATAGAGCAAGGGAGGGCTTCGCCCTCATTGGTCGGCGCTATCTTTCCAAGTCAACAACGGAAGCGGCAGACATTGATGTTCCCATCTCTGATAGCGTGAAAGAAAGGGCGGCGCAGAGAGAGAGAGAGAGGGAAGGAGGACGGAGAGAAAGGCAGAGACACAGACATTGAGAGGAGAGGGAGAGAGAGAGAGAGAGAGAGAGTAGCCCCTGTTATCCGCGGATGCTAACCATGATCGATGGCCCTCCCCCCAGTTTTTTTTGACCTCTTAACGTGATAAGTCAACTGTTTTTATGGAGATCGCTTACATTTTCCCGTCATACGGATGAGGTCAACGGTTATTACTGCATATACATCGCATTCGAGGATTCCCGACCCGTCAATCCGATACATTAAAGCGCATTCTGGTGATGCTCTACATTACATCTGGGTTTTCAACAGGTCAACAGTCAAAGGTGGGTCCCGCGGCCCATCGACCCCCTCCACAAGTACTTGTTCCGGTCTTTGTTTTGTTGCAACGTGACCGTCAAGAGTCAGACAGGGTGGCCCCATTACTCATGGCAACAAAAGTAGAAACTCAAAAGATATTTTCGTGGGCACATAATCTTCCCTTAAGCACTTAGTGTTAATATTTACGATGGAAAAGTGTGCGTGTGTGTACTTGTAGTATCGTAATATTTCCAAATATCCGAATATTTATTTATTTATTTTATAAATATTTCGTGATAAATTGTTCCACAAATATGTATGTATATATATATATACAAATATTTTTCACTCATTTGATTCTATAATTGGAAAAATTCGTAAGTATTTAGACAGGGAAGATGACCATGACAGGTCTTCCAAAGGAATGTTTAGGATCTACCAACATCAATCGTTATCTGAAGGATGACCTGACAGAGTATAAGATTGACAAACTGCTTTTCCAAAAGAATTGTTTTTCCTAAGAAAATTTGTCACGATCATTTACCCAAAAAATGTCCCTCTCTCTCTCTCTCTATCTATCTCTCTGACTCTCTCCACCCTTGTTTTTTCTACTAGACTACCGCCTAAGCATGTGCTTCCCCTTCAGAAAGAATGAAAGGGTAGAAATAACTGAGCTAGTGCAGAGGAGCGACTCATGTAAGTTTCTAGTTAGTCGGATAAAACGATGGATGGAGAGAGAGAAAGAGAGAGAGAGAGAGAGAGAGAGAGAGAGAGAGAGAGAGAGAAAGAGTTGTGCATATGTGTTGAGCCTAGACTTCATTAGGGTCCAGTCAGGACTCATTTTTCCTGAAATCTGCACTAGTTGCATGTCGTGAACTCGGTAATCCCGGTGCCTACATTTGGCCACTAATCCACAACTTGAACAGATTTCTTTGCACTGCTGAAGATCTCTTCCAACCCCCGCAGTAGATAATGTATATAGTTAACAGGGCGGCCAGGCTATGAAGGTCTTGGGAACTTGATTGATTAAGAGAAATTTGAGCCGCTTACCAGGCGTTATTGATTGTTGGGAACCCGCCGCGTCGAAAAGTCAGGATCTCTGACTATCTTCCCGGTCAAATGCTTGCTCGTCCACTGTTCCAGATTTCAGTTGACTATTTAGTTCTTGACGAGGATTGGTAGTGGGTAATGATGTTGACATTGCCGATGGTAGGCCGCGTGTCCTCCAGCTGTCAAGGCAAGCTAGCTTTGTGGCGATCGAACGGCAAGAGCGACCCCTGCCGATAGAGATCGAGGGTTCTCAAAGACAACGCCATTTCAGAAATGGTGATTTTCCGGCGTGGCGCACAAGTGCTGTGAGGTCCACTAAGATTAATCCAAGTGTTTGAGGAGGAACGTCTTCTTCGCTGAGATCCAAAGATCTGATGATGCCGACGTTCGTACGGGGTTAGAATATTTCGCCTTCTTACAAGAGGTTAAAGCAAATCCCTTTTCCGCAGTTGAAAATTCGATTGGTGCAAATGGTCGTCTTCGCTTATCAAATACTCCGCTCAGTCCTCTCTTTCTCTCGCTACCTATCTATATCTCCACCAATTCTAATTAAAAGAGGAGAGATCTTTCGGTGTAGTCTTTACGCAACCCCCTTCCCCCTGTAGGAGAGGAGAGACAGAGAGATGTAAGACTAAAAAGCGCACTCGTACGTCCACTTTCAGAAGCAGATTGTTGCTGGTGGGTTTCGTACATTCCTTCGGAGGATCATCGCTTAAGTAGTTGTCCTTCATTTCTTTTATAGGACAGCTGCCGCCGCCGTAGGACCCTCGTGGAGACTGCCTTCATACAGTGCGGAGGACCCTCGTGGACGGTTCACCTGGGACGGCAGGACGCCACAGCGGCCAGCCGGAGAGAAGTTATAAGCAGCATCCTAGTCCGCATTTCAGCCTCTCCGAGCTCACCACTAGCTTCCCCAACAAGTGTCTGAACTTGCGGGAACTTTTGGAACTCTCCGGCGCGCACACCTTCGGCGTCTCCCACTGCTTATGTTTCCAAACCCGGATCTACAACGACATCAATATAAACCATACATTTGCCGCGTCGATAATCCAGACAAACTGCCCGCGGTCCGGCGGTGATAACAACCTTTCGTCGCTCGACGTCACCACCCCGACCGTCTTTGACAATGCCTACTACTCCTTCCGGGGTCTCTTCCATTCCGACCAGGAGCTATTCAATAACAGCTCCGCGGATTCCATCGTCCAAAGCTACGCGGCCAGCAGCTCCGTCTTCTTCTGAGACTTCGCGGCGGTAATGGTAAGGATGGGCAGCATCAACCACCACACCAGCTCCAGTGGGGAGATCAGACGGGTCTGCAGCAAGGCGAACTGAGGGGACGGCGTGCATTGCTCAATACTGGACCCGACGATTATGGAAAGAATCAGAACAAGAGTGTACGGTTTTCCCTCTGGCACCGATTGTAACTCCTAGGTCTGGTTTTGCCTAAAAGTTATGGTTTGCTGGTTTAGATAGAACAATCTACAAGGGAAAGTTAACAGCTCCGCGATCTTAAAACCCACGGGTCTGATTTTAAATTTTGTTTTATAAATAAAAAGAGAACCACAAGGTGTGATACTTGTATTATTTTCCTTAAATAGATTTTTTAAATGCTTGTCCTACTAGGAGTTTGAGAAAATCTTACACGTAATCTTTCCTTAGGCGTCCCATTTAGCCATTACATTAGGGTTGCTCAATTTACTGTTGTTTACCTTTAATATAAACTCTAAATTGAATTGTCCATCAACTTTTCTAAAAAGATTTCCAGAACCGAAATTTCTACTCTGCCCGAATAATAAGCTTTAAAAAAATCAAGAAATAAAATATATCCAAATCATCTTGAAGAGCGCCCTCATTTGAACTTTGAGGGCGTTTATCCAAATCATCTTGAAGAAATAATAAGCTTTTAATTTTTAGATTATGATTGTCCATACTTTTGAGTTCTTTTATTAACTCTCTTGAATTTTGTATAGATAACTAAGCTATAATGGTCTTTGAATGGGTTTCCTGGACTCAATGTAGCCTTTAGGGAACACTTTTTATGCAGATTTTTACACTATAAGTCTTGACATGACACTTTGGTTTTTATTTACATTCTTGTACACAAACTATATTGTTTTTCACACCTTATAGTTTTCATTTACAAGACCACTACTTATCTAATTTCTTGACGTTTTGGGCATTTTTTCTTAAAAAGACTATTCAATTTCTTTAAAATAATGACAAAATCACAAAAAATCAGTGATCAAATCAAGCTTTTTTTATAATCAAAGTCAATTTATCAGGTTCAATAATTAAAAATAGAATTCTCTATATTTTATTCATTCAAAGTAGTTTGCCATATGTTAAATAATAAGTTAACTTCAAAATTATATGCAGATGTATTAATGTAACATTGTACTTTTTTTTCGAATTAGTAAAAAATCACGTCATAAATGAATTTGGGTCCTAAATTTATTTAATTTCTCTTATGAAGCCATATAAACATTCTTATAAAACTATATAATGGGCAACTTTGATGGGGATGCTGACTATGTCAAACAAGCTAAGTTTTCATTTTTTTAGGCTATCACCGTAATTGTTTTATTAAGTATGTTTTGCTAACACTTTTCAGTTTTTCATGTATTGTTATCACTATCTATGGACACTTTTAATCTTTTTTACTCCATAATTTTTTCCTAATGTTATTCATTCATGTGTAATAAGTTGAGCATATGTTATTTGGATTGATATATGTTTATTTCACGTCTATTCTGAACAAATACCAATTATTACAAAATAAGGTTATCTTAGATGTGTTAGAGAATGTCATCCATCCCTTGGTGCTTCCCCCCCCTACATTTATGTGTCCCAGTAGGTAGGGGCAACTGTATGTGATTCACTATGCTTGCTAACGCCTAGCTTGTTGATAATATTATAAGATTTTATAATATTTACTTGGGGCTATTAGTAAAAAATGATGACGTCTAAGGTTTAGGGCTATCGTTTATAATGACATCCAAGGTTTTATGTCAAAATACTTATCCACAACTATAACAAAAGATGACCATTATTTCCCAACTTTAAGGTAAATTCAGGAATATTAACTACTAAAGAATGGAAATAAAAACTATGGACACCTAAATAGCTTTCAAAATGTAAAATTATGGATAAAATACTGTATTTTAAGATGATCCTTAGAATATCCTAGGAATAACTCATCATTTTAGAAGATGAAGTTAACTATAGTATTGCAGAAAACTATTTTGCTGATGCAGGTCACAATTTGTTATAAAGGAGGTCATAAGACCTTTGGCAAAGCATAGTGACCTTTGGTAAATCCCATTGAATTGATTGTCAATGTCCTTGCCCTTAGGTTCTATTAATTCTAGTTAATATATCAGTGAACATAAAGCATACAACTAGCCTCTTATAGGTTGAATGGCTACAAATGACCTAAGTGTTCTCTAAAATATATTCTATTTTCGCAGTTTTAAGTGGTCAGCCAAATAGCGCCCAACTTTAATTACTCAAATAGAATAGTCTAGTACTCACATAAGTTTTGTGTGTAGCTTCTAACGGTTTGAAATTATGCATTCCAAAGTTGGAAGATTCAATCATAGATCAGCCATTTTAATGCCTTAAATGAGCTTATGTAATATTAAATTTCTTATTGACCATCGGATAATATAACTCTCATAGAAAAATGTTTGTCTCATGATTTTTGTCTTTTTAAAAGTAGAAAACGATTAAAAAAGGCCACCCTTGTAACTACTCTCACTCCAATGCCTACTTGTAGGGCAATATGCCAGCTTCTCTTGTTCCTCTTTTGTCATATATGTCTCAACCCTATTTGCATTCTCTTGATATCGCTCAATGAAGTCGTAGACTGACTTCCTATAAGTAAATAAATGTTTTTCTTCAGTATATAGACTTCTATACAATGATTTAAATGTCTTCATCCCCAAAGATTGTGAAGATTACACAAAAGTCACAAAAGTTATTTTTATAAGGAAATTTTATAAAATTAATAATAGTGTCATTTAATTTTTTTTGTATGGTAGTAACTTCTGATCAAGTTTTAATTTAATCATATAAGAGAATTGAACTATGTAATTAGCTTTGGCATATCTAGAATTGTGAATCTAGAAGAAAATTTTGAGGTATAATTATCAAAGAGTTGAGCTTAGTGTTTAGTAATTATTAGTAAATATTACCTTAATTGAATCTAAGAATAATATGGTTTGAGATAATGGACATAAGAAAAATAGAATAACTGACCAAAGCAAAAATTAGGATGACATTAAATCAATTCCCCCCTCTTATTTGAAGTACAGCCTTTAACCCAACAAGGCAAACTTGATATAAGATCAAATGGGAGTATAAAGTTAATTTTGTTGGAGTCGAACTCCATTAAGGTGACTTTCTAATCTAATTGGATATTAATGCGATTATAAATGATTTGTGATATTGGGTTTACCCGGGGCAAAATAGTAATACAGATATATAAAGGCCTGCCCTTGGAGTTTCAACGCACAACAACACCACTCGTACGGAGACACTCCATCCATAGGAGAGAGGCGTATGAGAACCACAGTCGGCCATTAAGTCGCCGCATGGGGACCACACCATACGTCGGCCATGAGACTGAGACGATGGAAGCGGACGAATAGGCGACCGTGTCGTCCATATGAGGTGTAGACCAAGGCAGCCACTGGCCGCGTTGGCGACCAGGAAAGCGGTGGCCAGGAAGACCACAGCTGCGGCCATGCATACGGCCGCTGCGGTAAAGTGGTCTTAGGCAGTGCAGCGTGAGCACGCAGACGACCGTCGTGCGTCGTC